CACAGAACTCATCACAGGTTATCAAAATTACTGCTATACAGTCTATCCTAACAAAGAGTAGCTTTCTCAACTTGCTATGTAAAATTATCAGCAAAAAACAAAAGCATAAGGTTTATGGTGAAATTGGCTTGGAGTCATAATTCCCTATTCTAGCATTTTCAGAAGGATCCCATCTGTGATGTACGCAGAAACTGCACTCACATCTGAATGGTTCACTTCTCGATTCACTCTGAGTTCCTTTAAATCCAGTGTCTGCTAGCTGTCTTCCAAGCGGAGAAAATCTGTTGAGTAAAAGATATCGCAGTCTTGCCAGCCTTTCTTTCCGCACAGATAACAGTGTCCTCACTCCCCTTCTCCTGTAAGGCATGCTAACGCCGTCTCTCATATCCTGGGAGATGCTTTCTCTTCTAGCCTGTCGTCGGGGTAAATCTTCTGGTAGAGGGGAAGGGAAATTGGTGCCAGGGGTGATAGTCAATTTACTAAGGTTCTTTATTAAAGTTTCAGCGAAGTTATGAGGAGACTCTGAATTGCCTTGAGAATTTTCTTCAGTGTGCATTTGTGAAGACTCTGGGATCAAGGTTGGGTCAAGCATTTCTGACGGGTCCATCGCAGTCTAGTCACAGCTGTAAGCTCCTCCTGGATCTTTGGGTCCCAGCAGAACAACAGGGAAACCTGGAAAGAACTCTGTAGCTCAGAAAGAGCCTGAAAACCCAAACTCCAACAAACAGTGCAGCAAGAACTGATGAGCATTAGATCTTTTAAATTCATCCATTTTGATGTGACTGATTGGCCTTCATAGCATAGTATTCCTTTGTATGAATATACAATTTATTTACCATTTTCTTTCCACTGAACATTATAGCTGTTTCTAGTTTTTTGTTTTGCTATTGCAAACACTTCTTCTGTGAATATTTTTGAACATAAATAATGGTGTACTCTTACAAGACATTACTTAAGTTGTATCCCTAGAAGTGACATCACTGGATCATAGAAAAGGCAAGTCT